GCAATAGATAAATATGAAGGTGGTTATAACCATACAGGTCATGCTGTCTCTCCAACTATATATTGTTAACTTTCTCTAAGTATTATCTTCAAGGAGGTCATGGGACTGATTACATAGATAACACAACCTGACATGTATCAAAATTCCAGATTCTTAAAGGAAACCCCCCTACCACATGTTATTCTTTGCAGGAAAATTGTAGCCACATGTAGAATGTCCTAAGAATGACAAGGTATGTTGGAAATATTCCCCAGATCCAAGTCTTCAAATACCAGAGATTGACTAACCTGGCAAATGTGTCTTCCTAACGATGTGTGTAACCTCAGTCCCCCTGTGTTAGCATTGCTTTTGCAAAGGTTATATCTAGAATATCCTGAGAAAAATGAAAAAATTATGTATTACAATGATTTGTTCCAGAAAAGACAATTAAGAATCAAGAAATTAAACAATTTGATAAAATTTTTCTCTTTAATATTTACCTTTTGTTATCCATTTAATTTGTCATCAGATAGTTGGTTACTTGTCTGAGATAAACATATGAAAATATTATTTAATTCTTTTTTATTAAAGTAAATTTTTTCTGATTAAAATCTTGGTTTTTTTTTTCCAATATCCTATACCCAGTATTTTGCTTAGGATCTTACTTATAGCACTGGCTTTCCTTTTAAAAATTGCCTTGTAATTTAACACATTGTTAATGTCCCAGTTATATTCCATTTCCCCCTTTACAATTATTTTCTGAGCCAGGCATTTAGAAGTTAACTTCTTCTATTTTTAGTTACATTTCCTTTTATTTGTATTTATTAATCCTCTTGGGACTCCTTAAATAATTTTAAGATATGGAATGTCCTTGGATTTTATGACAGCTACTGAGCATTTGAAACCTCATGTATGATGCTTGCTCTCAGCTTCCCTGAATATTTGAGACAGGCCCGAGTTCTGTCCCGGGATTTCATGTACCCAACCAGCTTCTTGTTGGTTTTACTCCATTTCACTTTTACTCCAGGCTTGGAGCTGGTTTAGGACACTAGTGTATAGACACAACTCTCAGCTCCTATAGTGAAAACTAGAAAGACAACCACATGGGAATTATCAAATCACTCATTGATTACACATATTTGATCCAAAATTTAAATAAATAGCTCTCTGACATCATTTATTCCTGCTAGTAAAAGTCTAACTGAGACAATACAATTGTTAAGAACAATTTTTTTCCTTATAATTATTGAGTCTCAGAAGTCTAAAATTAAGACACTAGTAAATTATCTTATGAAGGCTTAAGTGTCTCTGATCCCAATATGGCACAACATCGCTAGAGCTGTACATGGCAAAAAAGATATAAGATCCAGGTGGATCTCTGAATACTGTCATGTAATGCCCTTGATTTTATTCTTCCACTCCTAAGGGTGGAGAACTCATGATCTAACCAATTTAAAGACTACTTCCTAATACCATCTTAAACTTTGTGACTTAGGTTTCAACATGTAAGACTTGAAGGAATGCACATATTCAATCCCTACACTTCTTTAAGGTCTATTGTGAGTGTCTCTCTTCAAGTGTGATTGTAAGATGTACAATTCTGATATACTGTGACCTTTAAGTAGCCTCATTTGTAAACAAATACCCTAAATTCTTCTATAATCTTTAGGATTGATAAATATAAATATGAAAGCAGAGAAGAAAACATATACCTGATAGATTCTAAGGAAAATCAGAAAACAAATGACTTTGTAGTGGAATCCAAATTATGACTATCTTGCTAGGATTATACTCATGCTCAATATGTCAGAAGAGAGTCTATTCTAAAAGCAAGAACAAAGACAAAAGTTTACACACAATACTAACAAAATCAGGTAGCTAGAGTGATGACTAAGTGGTTAAGACCATTTGTTTTACTTCTAGGGAACCTGGGTCTTCTGCCGGCACCCACATGGTGGTTCACAACTGTTGCTAGGCTTTCATATGTGCAAATACATATAGAGATGTAAAACACTCTTGTGTATGAGATAAAAACATTAAAAATATTAAAATCAGACCAGATACTACACCTTAACATAAAAGATTGTTTCAGAAATGTCTAAATTAGTGCTTTGATAAGTAAGCTTAGTAGTGATACAAATAGAACTTATGTAATAATAATAATAATTAATAATGCTGATAAATAGGACATTATGGAAATAACCAAATTAACTTTCTAGAAAAATTCAGAGAAATTAAATTGTAATAAATGGATTAAATAGTGGACTGAAGACAAAGAAAAAAATGTGAAAAAATAATAGAAATACATATATTCCTTAAAATTACTTCATGGAAACAAACAATATAAAAGGTTAATTAAGAGAAACCAAATGAAAATAAGTCTCAAATATTAACAATCAATAAACATTAGGAATGCAGAAAATAAAAAACAGACTTGAAAGCATAATGTATTCATATATCCAACACTCCTCATTTCCCATTACTGAAGAAACACAAATATTCTCTCTCATTCAATTGTCCCAAAATATCAGGTCATTTTATTCTTTGCTCACAAACAGTGATGTGAAAATCATTTATCTGAACTCTCAATTCTTTGCATAGAAATTCTGAATCCTTTGTAATTCCCTGAAGTATAGGAAAGGAGAGCATGTTCGCTATGTCTATGAAGTGACTTTCAACCTCATTGAGTTTGTATAAATGGCTTGAGTCTTGCAGGGAGTAAAGACAGCTGAGTGAGCCTCAGTATGAGCTGTTTGCCAGAAGAAACAATTATTATCCTAGAAACAGGATTCTCAGACCCAACTTCTGTGTTCCACAACATGCTTGGAGATTGTGTTTTGTTCTCAAAGGCCAATGACTTAATCAAGCATACATGGCTACATATGATTCCCCCTAAGTCCCAAACAACTGGACTCCCAGAGCTTTTTGCATTGGTGAGCTCCTTTGCATGCTGAGGATGTTTTCTTCCACTCAGTGAGAGGAAAAACTCCTACACTGTATTAATCGGGGTTCTCTAGGGGAACAGATTTTATTTTATTTTATTTTTTATTTTTTCAACACAGGGTTTCTCTGTGGCTTTTGAGGCTGCCCTGGAACTAGTTCTTGTAAACCAGGCTGGTCTTAAACTCACAGAGATCTGCCTGCCTCTGCCTCCCGAGTGCTGGGATTAAAGGCATATGCCACCACCACCCGGCTTTCTTGTTGTTTTATTTTTTTATTTTTTCGGAGGAACAGATTTTATATAATGAATATATATGCATATGCATATGCATATGAATAAATAAATATATGTGTAAATTATATGTAAATACACACATATATAAAATATAAAGGGATTTTATTGGAATGGCTGTAGACCAGCTAGACATATAATGGCTATCTACTAACAGATTGTCCAAGATTCTAGTAGTTGTTCAGTTGATGAGGCGAGATGCCGCAACTGTTCCTCAGATTATGTCAGAATTCCAAAGAAGTAGGCTTTAATGCTAGTGTGAGGAATGGACTTGCTACCAAGAGCTACATTATACAATCAGACAAAGAAAGCAAGTTTCCTTCTTTGATGCCCTTTACATATACTGCCAGCAGAAGGTATAGCCCAAATTAAAGGTGGATCTTCCTACTTAAAAGATACGGATTAGCAGCTCAAATTATTTTATTAAGAAAGAAAAAAATCTCTCACAGGTGTGCCCAGCTGGTTGGATGTTTATACACCATGAGGATTTGTACACTTGTGTGTACAGTGCAGAATAGGGCATCAGATGTTTGTGAGTCATTCACTATCAACACTGGGAATTGAACTCAGGTCTTCTGCAGGAACAGTACTTTCCAGATGTAGCTGAGACATCTCCTAAATCTAACAAAGGCATTGGTATTCAGGTGACACTAATATATACCAGTAACCTATGCTCTTGAAGGAATGACAACACAGATGATACAAGTCTAAACCAATTACCATATTGTTGGCTTGGCATGGGTTTGGTGACAGTCCATATTCAGTGGAAGCACAGTCACTGTGGATGCTTAGGGAAAATTCCTGATAGCTTTTACCTTGAGTTCTGAAAGTTGATTTTTCCCATGTTTTAACATTTGTGAAGCTGTGATTCACACTGTATTACCAGGGGTCACCCAGTATCACTAGAGGTCACACTGTATCACTTGGACTCACACTGTCTCACTGAGGGGGTCACACATTGTGTCACTAGGGGTCATTCTGTATTACTAAGGTCATACTGTATGTCACTGGGGGTTACATTTTCACTAGGAGTCACACTATTATCACTCAGACACACTGTATCTATGGGAATCACACTATTATCACTGGAGGTCATGCTGTATCACTGCAAAGTTATAATGTGTCACAGCAAAGTCCCACTATATCACTGGGGTCCCATGGTATCACTGGAGGTCATACTGTACCACTGCATAGTTATACTGTGTCATTGCAAAGTCACACTTTATCCCTGGGGTCACACTGTATCACTGGAACCTTGTACAGCTCTGTTTACTAGGGACTTTAAAACAAAGTTCGTCTTTCTTAAGAGCGTCTTAAAAATTTGATCATTTTTCATTCTGTTGTGTGTGAGCAGAGGCACAGCTAGAGAGATGCTTATATCAGGAACTTTGGAAGGAAGACATTCATAACATTTCAGGTGGGATCAGTTACAGTGGCGGGTGTCACTGAACCTGCCATCTTGCAGAGGCACAGCTAGAGAGATGCTTATATCAGGAACTTTGGAAGGAAGACATTCATAACATTTCAGGTGGGATCAGTTACAGTGGCGGGTGTCAGTGAACCTGCCAGTGTGTAGAGTCTGAAGTAATTGTTGCTTGCCTAAGGCTTCCATAGTTCCTTGGGTGATAGATACTGACAGGGAGGAAGAGACTTGTAAAGAATTCCTTGATGATTTATGGACATCCCAAATGGTGCCTGTGTGCTTCTCTGTGTGTTTTGGGGCGTGATGTATTTCCATGTTACAGTCTGCTTACCTTGTGCTCACAACTGTGCCACTTTCTCCCCAAAGATCAATGCATCTGAGGAGTAAGAGAGACTGATGATCTGCTCCAAGGAGGCTGCTCACAAATGATCCCTCAGAGTCACAACAGAGCATCAACGAACAATGAACAGTGTCTATGGGGACTTGGTTCTTTCAGGTCTGCTTTAACTTATGCTTGCAAAGCACAGACCTCAGGACTGACTCACAGAAGGCTCTTCTCTGACAGAACAACAGCTTTCCACAATTTGGGAAAGCACAGACCACCTTTATCTAAGATTTCAGCAGAAGGACCTATTACTGTTCATTCGATAATGGGACATTGTAATGAAACTGAGATAATAAAAAGCATATGTGTTTGGAACTGGTTCAAATGGGGCAATGAATTTATTCTATTTTTTTCTGAGTGAGATCAAGCTTTTAGAATTAAAGGAGATAAGGAGCAGAGAAGTCAAAAAGCAATGAATGTAGGATCTAGATGTTAGAACAAATAGACTTTAAAAATGTTTTACAGTAAGTAATAGAGCATTGGCCAAATAAGGTAAAGTCAGATAATTATTCCATTTCTTATAGACTGTTCAAGTGCAAACATTAGAACATGCATTCAATAGAGCTGTTGACCTTCCCCACCCTCACAATGGGATCACAAAGCAGAAGATGTGATGTAGACTGCAAAGAAGTGTAATCTGTTTCATAAAACAAGGCTAACCAATAACATTTGCTTCACCGTTTGGGGATACCTCTGTGAATTTTGCCATTTAATTATAGACAACTCTATGTGCTTTTACTCCTTCTGATTTTTAACCCTCCTGATATTTATATAGGGCAAAGGCACATGTGTGAATTACAAAGTCAGCCACTCAATACTAAAACATCACAGCATATCTGTGCATTTCTGCTTCAAAGTCCAGTGAACATTTGTTCCCATCCTGTTGAAGACTTAGTGGAAGAGACCCTTGTACACACAGGCTTTATTCATATATCACAGCTAGAAATCCCAGATGTGAGCTTCTCTTCAAGCTCAATCACTGTCATCCAGGGGCCACCCATACCTTGTACATTGGGAGCCAGACCTCCCTTGAATTGCTGAATTATTATTATAGCAGAAACTTGTGGTTACTGCCTCATTAGGATTTGGAATGCTAATACAGAAGTAATTAGTAATTTAGTGCAACTAAATTTCCACAGTTGTGACTCTCTCAGAGAAGTGACTGTAGTATGAACCAGTTCCCTCTGTTCCTTATCTAGATTTTCTTATGCTCCCCTAAAGCACTACCATGCCAAAATCCCAAGGAAGGTCAGTGATCACCAGTTATGGATGCTTCACACTTGCCTTGTGCTAAAATAAAATAATCTGTGTTAGTAAAACGTACTTGTAAGTAGCTTTCCTCTCTCTACTTGAAAACCTAGAAATAGCTGACCTACTTTGATTTTCTGTGTCCACTTCCATAAAGCATTGAGTAGCAAAGCTGTCTTGTGCTTTGTATTTGTGTTGTGTTCTCATCGCTTTATGCTCTTGTCTCAACTCAAGAAGTCTTTCTGTGCCCTTTGTGCTCCTTTCCTGCTGGCTCGGAATTGTGGACTAACCAGTGAGCTTGTGTTTGAATGCCTAAGGAAGAGGAAAAGACCAAGGTGAATACTGGATTTTAGGGCTAGACTTGGTAAAATATCTAAAAACATAATCAGACTAAAAACAGAGCTAAAGTAATAGCCAAAGTGTTGGATTTCTGAGTCTGGGAATCTGTTTGTTCATGAGTCAAGCCCCACTATCATGGAGGTTACAAGCTGGGAGATTTCTTTCTACGTGGAGTTATGGAATCCTACTAATGTAGCCTGGAGGCTCCAGTGTTGCTCCCTCCCAGGACAAATCTAGCCTAGATGAGAGGCATATATAGACAAGGAGCGAGGCACAGTCTGGAGTTCATAGAAGACTAGGAGGTTAAGAGTCCAAGACTATAATTTTCAATCCTGAGAAAATCCCAGTAATGATTGTAAACTAATATCCCAATTTCTTCTCTAAAAGGTGGATTGAAACACATTAAATATTCCTAAAAATAACCTGGATTTATCCTTGTATTATGTTATTATACATTAAAACTATATTTGCTACTACCAAAAGTAAACTTTTTCCTAGGGAAATTTACAGGGGACACAATAGTTTTCAGAAGATCTTAGTAGATGAACAGAATTCCAGTATAGGAGTTTTTTAGAGGAGGAACTATTCAGAGGAAGGCATTAAACATGGCACCTTAAAGTACTTTACAAAAGAGTAGATAGCTCAAATCATCCCTGTAGCTTTCATTTTAAAATCAAAATATAATTATATATTTTTCTTTCTCTGCTCTCTCCAACCATTCCCATGTACCTTCACTCAGATTCATGTTAATTTGCATACATAGATATAAATGCACAAACATGTAAGTACAACTATATATATATATATATATGTTTCAGTATATACTTACAATATATATATATTCAGTATATACTTACAAACATGTAAGTAAAACTATATATATATATATATATATATATATATATATATATATATTTCAGGGATGACCACTTGATATTGGATAAACAATCAGGGGAATACTAATTCTCCCTCTCTGGGCTATCATTAGTTTCCTTAGGTGCCTTGAAATGGGGCCCTATTAGATTTCTGTCTTCAGTGTTAAAATGTCCACTGGTGTTCTCATGATTCAGAGTTCTTATTCAGGTAGCCATATTATTGAGGCATCGTATTATATTTATCTGGTTATTTTTAAGAGACCTACATCCTCAAATCAGACTTTTGAGTCATCTAGTCCTGCTGAGGACCCTGAGCCTTAGATGCAAGAGTTATATTATAGAAGTACCAGTTTTGACTGGGCAACAGATGATCACTTTTTCTTTGCATTTTGATTGGCTGTGATTGTCTACAATGGTCTCTGTGTGTTACTAAAAGTTGTTTCTTTGATGATGGATGGAACCTATACTTATCTATTGGAATAAAGACAGGTACTTATAATGCAGTTAGGAATTATTCTGGTCTAGGAAAGTGGTGGTTATAGGTTTTTAAGATTCATAAATTAACTAAGCCTGTGCAGTTTCCTAGATTTCCAGTACTAGGCATGTTTCCTGTTTTTGATCTTGCACTAAATCCAGTTATGCAATGTATGCCTTTAAAAGATGGCCCCATCAAGCATGAGGAGAACTCACTGTAGAATCAGGGATGGAAGCTGGGACACTGGTTGGGATGAAGCTGAAGTCAGACAGTCTGAAGAAGTGACAACAGTGTAGAAAGAAACAAGGCCCAGAGGCAGGAGTGAGGTCAGAAGCCTTTTTCATAAAACTGGCAAGCGGTTCATCTGCAGTCTTCCCATATAGGCAATAGGGACCCAGCTGTCCAAGAGAAAATAGAAATGCCACCACACTCTTTTAAGAACAAGGGAGCACTAGAGAAACCAATGAAGAAAACACCCACCCAACAAAGACAAGACCAAAAATTAGCACCTAGAATCACAATCACCCCAAACCCAGATATCTAGATGCCAGTGTGAAAACAGAATCAATAATAGCCATGAAAATGTGTCTCTAGTGTAACCCAGCAACCAGTAGCATGGTCTGCATATTATAACATAGCTGAAACACAATAAAAGACCTTAATATATCCTTTATGAACATGATAGAGGATTTAAAGAGGAAATAAATATTTTCCTTAAAGTAATCTAGGAATATGCAAACAAACAATGGAAGGAAATGAATTAAAAGTTCAAGGTCTGAAAGAAGAAGTAGAATTAAGAAAGAAAACACAAACTGAGGGAAATCTAGAAATGAACAAATTACTAACTTGAACAAGAAGCCTCAAAGGTAAGCCTCACCAGCAGAATAAAAGAGTCAGAAGGGAGTCTCAGGCATTGAAGACACAATAGAAGAAATGGACACCTCAGTCAAAGAAAAGGATGAATCTTTAAAAACAGCCTTTGCACCAAAAAAAAATCTAAGAAATCTTGGATATAGGAAAAGATCTAATCTAAAACTAATAGGAATATAAGAAGAGATTTTCAATAAAATCATAGAAGAAATTTTTCTTAACCAAGAGAAGAGGTACTTGCCAAAGTAAGAAGCATATAGAATGGAAAGTAGATGAAAGCAGAAAAGAAATTCCTCTAGCCACATAATAATGAAAACACTATATGTACAGAGCAATGAAAGAATGCTAAATGCTGCAAGGAAAAAAAACAAGCTGAGTATAGGAGCAGACCTTTTAGAATAACATCTGACTTCTCAATGGGCACTTAAAAAGCCAGAAAAGCTTGGGCAGAAGATGTTCTAAAAAACGACATATCTTAGATTACTGTACCCAACAACACTTACAATTACAGTTACAATACATGGAGAGATAAGTCATTTTGTACAACACAAACCAAATATAAGCAATGTCTATCTACAAACTCAGACCCACAAAAGGTTCTAGAATGAAAACTCCTGTCTAAAAAGTTTAAACTCACCCAAAAAAAACACAAGGAATAAGTAATACTGGGCCAGTAAAGCAAAAGAGGAGACACACACACACACACACACACACACACACACACACACACACACACACACACACACACACACTGCACAGCAACACAACAACAAGAATCAACAAATACTGCTCATTGATAACTCTCAAATCAATGGTCTCAGATCCACAAAAGAAAGACACAGTCTACCCAGGAGAGCTCATCTATTTCCCTTTTCCAGGGTGATCCATGTGCCCCTCTTAGGGTCCTCCTTTTTACCTACCTTCTATGGTGTTATGGATTGTAGCCTGGTTATAGATGAGGTCCCCTGGGTAAACTGAGGTGGTAGAGGGGACGGGATGAAAGATAGGAAGATGAGGTATCTGGATGACCAAGTTGGGGGAGGGATGGAGAGGGAGAGCAATGGAAGAGATATCTTGATAGAGGGGGCCATTATGGGAGTTAGAGAGAAACTTGGTGCCAGGGGAACTCCCAGGAATCCACAAGGATGACTCCAGCTAACACTCCTAGCAATAGTGGTGAGGGTTTCTGAACTGGTCTTCCCCTGTATTCAGATTGGTGACTGCCCTAACTGTGATCCTAGAACTTGAGACTAGATAGCCCAGGGACCTTGAGGAAAACCAAATACTGCTGTTCTACTAAAAAAGCATAGCAATAAAATGACTCCTAATGACATTATACTATACTCAGAGGTCAGTTGCATGCTTAGCCATCATCAGAGAAACTTCCTAAAGCAGATGGGAGAAAATACAGAGTCCCAAAGTCAGACAATACTTGGAGTGTATGAGACCTAGGAAAACAGCCCACAACAGGCTGTCGTCATCAAATTCTCCCCCAAAGAGTTCAGGGAGTCC